AATAATTCAATGCGTGCTTTGATAGAAATGTGAAAATATCACAAGCACCACTTGAAGATTAAGGTAAATTTTTTTGAAGGTGTTGTTACAGGGTACTGGCTTTCTGAGAAGCTGTGGCAGCCTCAGAGACCTCCCCAGATTAGCATTTTTCCTTGGGGAACCTGTTTCAGGAGCCTGCAAGATGTGTGGTTCCCTTGATTTGACACTCTGCTATCCACATCCTGAAATCTAAACAAAAGGCTTTTCATTTACCCTTTGCACTGGGCCTTATAGATGACACAGTCATTCCTGGAGCTAGGTGCAGGGTTTGCAACTATAGGAGACCACCCTCAGCAAACTAGAAAAAGAAGAGGACTGCCTCAATCTAGTAAAAGACATCTACAAAAAACAAAGCAAAAGAAAACAAAAAAACACACAGCTACCATACTTAATGGGGAAAGGCTGAATAGTTCCACTCTTTAACTAAGACTAAAGCAAAGATTTCTGTCCTCATTACTTCTATTCAGTATTGTACTAGAAGTTTTAACCAATGCAATGAAGTAAGAAAAAGAAATTAAAGGCATCCAATTGTGCAGAAAAAACTAAAATTCCATTTATTCATGGAAAACATGACCATCTATGTAGAAATTCTAAGAAAGATAAAAAAGCTACTGAAACTAATATTTAACAAAATTTTAGTAAAGTAACAAAATTTTACTATGCAAAAACATCAATTATATATCTATGCATGCACACTGAATATTCAGAAATTGAAAATATTTTTCAAAAATTCACTTTCTGTAGAATTAGCATGAAATACTTAGAAATAAATTTGTTGAAATATATGTAAGATCTGCACACTGGAAACTACAATCATAGCTCAGATAATGGGTAGACACCAAAATAAAAAGTGAGAATGTGCTATGGATCAGAAGATTCAATATTGTTAATTTTTCAATTCTCCCTAAGTTAATCTATTGATGAATGCAATTCCAATCAAAATCTCAGCAGCCTTCTTTATAAAAACTTGAAACTTGTGGTGAGCCGCTTCTGCCGTTTCTGCAGATTATGGTCGCCATTACAAGATGACGCTGGCTCCGCTGTGGTCTGTGACAAACAACTCCTTATCTGGGAAAGTTGGCACATGATTTTTCACCACCCTGTGAGAAAGCTCCACGCGGCAGCTTTGCATTGGGGCTTGGGATGCTTTATTAAGGCTGGGAGGGGCATCCGAGAGGGAGAGAAGAAGAAATATCAAGGGCCTGAATAAACTGTTGAAAGAAGATTCCCGAGTTGCGTCTTCCTTGCGGGCAAGGGGTCGAGACAGAAACTCATTCTAAAATTGGCATGGAAATGCAAAGGACTTATGATAATACTATTTAAGCAACCTAGAAAATAAGTTAAAATTGAAACTCTCTTATTTTAAGACATATGAAAAGTCCAGTAATCAAGAACGTGTGGTGGTACTGAAATTAAGCAGATATATAGATACCTACAAATGTGTCTATATTATGTAGACATGTGGTACAGAATGGAGAGTCCAGATATAGACACCACACATGTACAATGAATTACTTTCAAACACATATACCAAGACAAGTTCTTGGGGAAAGTGCAATCTCTTCAATAGGTAGCCATGGGACAACTGGACACAAATATTCAAAAATGTGAATCTCCATGTTTATTCCTTTTATGCAATTTTAATTTCAAATATTTACTACAAAAGAAAGCATAGACCTAAATGTTAGAGCTAAAAAAATACAGTTTTCAAAATGAAATACAAGAAAAATATATGAATGACATTGAATTTGTCAAAGATATTTTTAATGTGACATAAAAACAAAAGAATCAAATTACAAAATAAAAGCACAATACATTTGGCTTTATTAAAACAAATCAAAACAAAACATACACTCTTTGCTTTCTGAAAGCAAGCCATAGGCTAGGGCAAAATACTTGTAAAACATATACTTGACAAAGGACATTTTTCCTAGTAGATAAAACATATTTCATAGTAGAAAGACAAATACTCAAAATTCGTGAAGTGGTGGAAGAGATGTGAAGAGGCTTTAAAACAAGGAAATGCCAAACACACTAAAAATGTTCAATACCATTAGTCATTAAAAACAATGATTAAATGAAAAAGATTGATCACAAAGCTGGTGGAAATGTAAACTAGTACACTACTTTGGAAAGCAATTTCCTAAAATGATAAAAATAGCCAGGCATGGTGGCGCACAACTTTAATCCCAGTGGCTTGGGAGGCTGAGACAGGAGGATTGTGAGTTCAAAGCCAGCCTCAGCAAAAAGCGTGGCACTAAGCAACTCAGTGAGACCCGATCTCTAAATAAATACAGAATAGGGCTGGGGATGTGGCTCTGTGGTCAAGTGCCCCTGAGTTCAATCCTAGTACCAAATAAATAAATAAAAATAAAAATAATAAAATGTTAAAAATACACCTGCTATAGGACCCAGCCATTAACTTTTATCTATTTACTAGAAAAGAAAGCATATACCTACACAAAGATTTGTAGACAATAGTTCATAAATTTTACTTATAATAGCAAAATTTGAACAGAATTTATCAATGGGTGAATTAATGTCAATCAGCAGACAAAGGAGTAAACAAACTGGTATATTTATGCAGCAGAATAGTCCATTATTGACACAGTCAATAACAAGGATGAATCTCAAATTAAAGCATCTTAGTCCATTTTCTGTCACTATATCATGGTGACACACATTGGGTAATTAGTAAACAATACAAATCTATTTGGCTTACAGTCCTGGGAGTGGGAAGTCCAAGAACATGGTGCTGGCTTCTGGTAAGGGCCTTCATGCTGCATCATAATATGACTAAGGGCAAGTGAGCACAGCAGACAGGAAGGATCCTGAATTTACCCTTTTATCAGGAGCCTGCTCCTACACCAATAGCATATATCCATATCAACAGTTCTCATCCAAGGTAATTTTGCCCCCAAACCCTAGGGGACTCTTGGCAGTTCCTGGACACATTCTTAGTTGTCATTATTGGGGGCAGATGTGCCACTGACATCTAGTGGGCAGAGGTCACAATTTTGCTACAAATCAACAACACATTAGACTCTGCCTATAACAAAAAGTGATCTGACTCAAAGTGCCAATAGTGCTATGACTTAAAAACCCAGTGTTCTAGACAAGCAGAATTGTTGAAGCCTCTTCTTCTCCCTAGAATTCTTGTTTCTACCACGTGTACCTCCTGACACCCTGCTGACCCTCTAAGTCCCCTATCAAAGGCCTGTTCCATTTACATCTTGACCTTATTGAAAGTCATCCTCATTCACATTCTTGACCCATATTTGCTTTATCTGGCATCTCCTTTAACACTTATACATCTTTGAGATACCTTTGGTGTTCCTGTCTAAAGTTGCAGAGACTGACCATAAGCTCCTTGAGGACAGAACCACGTCTTATTCATCTTGGTATTTTTCAGATTCTGGTAATTTGATAAAGATATGAAGCATACCATGAAAAGTGCTATAATAACCCTTGTTGGTTGGTTCATTCTTTCAGAAGAGTTCTCCCAGGAGATAGTTTTCAGCATGGCTGTTATTAGTGAATTTTCTCTCTGACATAAAATATTTCAATTACAATGTGTAAGTGTTTAATTTTTTTTTTTTTTTGTAAAAGATTAAGGACCACTTCTAAATTACAGAGCATAGCAATATGCCCTAGAGATGGCTTGAGCCTGCATTTTATGCCTACATCTCTTGGTAATAAATAGCGTTGCCCAGCTGGGAATTGTAGGCCCCTGGCATCAAGTACATTATGATGATTGTGAAATAGTGTCTATGTAGCTGAAAGGGTCACCCTCTCATGGATTAAGAAAGTTAACATCTAGGACAGTTGGCAGCCTGCATTTACATAATCGTGGCCTCCATAGGTTCTTACAGTTCCTAGAATTATACTCATCACACTGTCTGGGAGTTTTCTTCTTTCAGAAACTTCAAACTCTTTCATGAAAGTCTTAGCAGAGACTAAAGGTGGGGAGTGACAGGGCAAGTCCCTGGTCAGGCACCTCCCAACCATGCCTTGCCTCTTCCCAATTACTATCTCACAAATGACACTTCACCTCCAAGCTAGACACCTGTGTCACTTTTTGACTTCCATGTCTGAAGACTCCCAGGTGTCTCAACCCCCATCCAGCCTCACCCCATTAATAGAGATCCCATTTTTTTCTATTGGGCATATGATAACAGCCCCACACTTTGGTAACAGTTCACAGTATAGAATTTTAACCTGATCATTTTGCTCTTTTTAAAAATTTGTTCTAATTAGTTATACATGACAGTAGAATGCATTTTTTTTAAAAAAAAGTTTATTTGAGAACAAAAGTGAAAGCTTTTGCACACCTGACAAGGCAGCTTTGTTCTGATAACAGATGCCATCCATATTCAGCTCCACTGAGATCACAATGAACATATTTCTTCTTACAAAGAGATGGGCATACATAAAGGACTATGACTAAACAGAGTCACGGAAAGGCAAGGCCCAAATCTTAGAATGATTCACAGCATAACACTTAATCAAAAGTATTCAGTTTCCTAATGCAGTGGCTCTCCACGTGGCTTCTTATCAGCATCACCAGGACCCTTTGAAAGAAATCCTAGTAAGCAGGCTGTATGGACCCTAGGGTCTCTGGGAGCGGGGCCCAGACATCAGCATTTTTAGGGTTCCTAGGTGATTACAATCTGCTGCCAAAGTAGGTGACCACTGCACTGAATCAAGCACAATCATCAGCAAGTTCCTCTGCCTACTGAACCCTGCAAGGACAATGTCCCTGGGGGTAGTGCTGGCTCTGCTGATGCTACCTTTCACTCCGCTCAAGAACCTTACATTATCAGCTTCTGGTGGAATTTTGAGACTTTCCATTCCCTTGGTGATTTTTACAGCAATATTTAATCAGGTGATTACTAACAAAAAGATGGGAAAAAAGAAATTTCCAATAAGGCATGATATGAATAAATAAGTAAAAAACAATCTCAGGTTTAAAAGTAAAGCATGAGAAGTCAAAGCCTGTGAAATTTTATTTATACAAAAGAATAAAAATATCTATTTTAAAAGAACTGATTTTAACTTGTGTTTTTCCGCTTTTCCTGTTCCTTGAACATGAAACTGCTTTCAACTCAAAGATTTAAGATAGGTAATTTTTAAATAAACACGCTTTACCTTCCTCCTGCAAGAAAACAAAGAGCCAAGTTTCCCATTTTACTATGGTAAGCCACATTATTTTCAGTTGGAATATTGGCAACTGCATGAAATAGATTACCAGATATGTTGGCAGGAAGGTATGAGCTGTACAAAGGCATTACAAAAAGTCCCCAAAGAAAATGAGATGGTAAAATAACAACAGAAAATAAAACACAACAAAGTAAGAGAATGCCAGATATTTACAGCCTACATCATTGTGACTTGTGTTCTACTTAGCATAAAAGAAAACCAGAGAATATTTCTCAACAGGGATCACGGATGTGGCTGGCAGCAGCCAGTTTGGGGAAAAATGTTCATTCTAAGAAGGGAGAAATGCACAGTTAACAACTTGCTGCGATTATAACCATGTCTTGGTCTTCTTGCAGCTCTGTTACTAAAAATGACACAAAGCAAATGATCCGATGTCTTACAGAAATGACTTGTTTGTCACAACATTTAGAACAAACTACTCAGAGTCACAGGCACTGGGTCTGGGAGAGCAGAGGTGGATGGCCACGCACTCAGGTGAGGGATGTTTATCTTTATCTGTATGAGGTCGGAGAAGGGAAGCAGAGCTCTACAGCCTGGAGGCTTCTGCACTAACGAGTCTTCTAATAGTCAGCTCGTGGTTTTTTGTTTAACTTCAGATCAATTCTGTGCTGGTTTTTATTCTTCCGTTTTTTATGGCTGCTGTGATGACTCCCCGAGGAAGGAGAAGAAGCAGCCTTCTGAGGTTTCACTCCCTGCACAGATCCATCCAGATCCTCAGGGTCCTCATGGCTGGGCTCATTTTCCTGATTGTGGAAGTCTGGAGAAGTATCACTTTCTGTCCCACTTCCTGGCTCCCTCTTTTCAATGAGCTGGTCCTGAACTCCTGCCAATGCACTTACTGCAGATGCCAACGTAACTGAGGATTTACTGAAGAGCCGCTCAGCTTCCTTAAACTTCCGATTCCTTCTATCATTTTTGCTATTGGAGTTTTTTTGGTTGGTCAGATACCGATCCCAGCCACGAATAATATTGCCATACATCTGAGTGTCTTCCAGGTAGCTTCCTTCAAAAGCATAGATCTGTCTCTCCAAGTTTGCCAGTGTTTCCGCCAACTCCTGCTTCCGCTTCACGAGCTCTGCCAGCTCCCACTGGGTGTCCGGGATCTGCGGTGGTGCCGCCTTGTTGTGCATCACCATGTTGGGCGAGGCGGCGGCGGCGCCAGTAGAATGCATTTTGACACATCATACATAAATGGAGTATAACTTCTCATTCTTTTGGCTGTACATGATGTAGGATCACACTTGTCTTGTAATCATTTATGCACAGTATTACTGTCCAATTATTCTATTATCCTTCCTACCCCCACCATCCCTCCTCTCCTCCCTTCACTCCCTTCTGCCTAATGCAAAGTACCTTTGTTCTTCCCGGTGCCCCCTTTTGTGAATTATCATCTGCCTATCAGAGAAAACAATCAGCCTTTGGGTTTTGGCAGTTGCTTATTTACTTAGCATATTCTCCAGTTCCATCCATTTACCCACAGATGCCATAATTTCATTCTTCTTTAAGGCTGAGTAACATTGTATATATGCACATATATACCACATTATCTTTATCCATTCATCTGTTGAAGGGCACCTAGGTTGGTTCCATAATTTAGCTACTATGAATTGAGCTGCTATAACACTGATGTGGCTGTATCACTGTAGTATGCTGATTTTAAGTCCTTCTGGCATAAACTAAGGAGTGGGATAACTGGTTCAAATAGTGGTTCCATTCCAAGTTTTCTGAAGAATTTCCATCCTGCTTTCCATACCGGTTGCACCAATTTTCAGTCCCACCAACAATGTATGAGTGTATCTTTCCCCCACATCCTCACCAACATATTTTTTTTTTCTCTCAGAAATTATTTATTAAAGGGCTAGGTTTTGCTAGGCCACTGGACACAGCTATAAATAAGACAGACTTGTTTCTGTCTTCGTGGAGCTTAAGGTCTTCTACTGGGAAATACAAGACACAAAAGTAAACAAATTAAGTTATTGCAAATCATGATAAAATTAGGAAAGAAACACACCATGGCCACAGGTAGAAAATATCAGGAGGGAACTTCTGTTATATGGGGTGGTTCTTCATCTCTGCAGAAATGATACAGGAGCTGAGACCTGTGGCAAGGATCTAGTCACTTAAAAAGCAGGAAGACCAGTGTTCTGAGGAGAAGAAATGGTGCATGGAAAGGCCAAAAGCCTGGAAACCAGAGAAGACCAGTGTGGCTGGAGGGCAATGAGCAAGGGAGGGTGGCCTCACAGGAAGGGCAAGGTTAATGTGGACCCAAATGGCACTCAGCTGTTTTAAGCCACCATGTTAGCTGCTAGGGATACCATAGAAAATACCACAGATTAGGTGACTTCAACAAAAGAAATATATTTTAGCCAGTTCTGGAGACTGGAAGTCCAAGATCAAGGGGTCAGCAGCATTAGTCTCCTGAGGCCTGTCTCTTTGGATTGCAGAGGGCTGCTTCTCAGCATTTTCACATGAACTATTTTTGTGCTTGAAAATCCCTGATGTTTCTCTGTAGAGCCTAATTCCCTCTGATAAGTACACCAGTCCTATAGGATAGGGCCCACTCAAGCCCTTTTTGACCTGGGCATGGTGGTACATGCCTGAAATCCCAGCAATATGGGAGTCTAAGGCAGGAGAATTGCAAGTTCAAGGCCAGTCTCAGCAACTTAGCAACAACCTCTCTCAAAATTTAAAAAATTAAATTAAAAGGGATAGAAAAGACTCTTTTTGATCTTAATTACTTCTTTAAAATGTTTCTGTCCACATACAGTCACATTCTGAGGTTATAGGAGCTAAGGCTTCAACATATGGATTTTGGTAGGACATGGTTCAGTTTATAGCAATGACTTAAAGGATTTTTACTATTTTTAAGGGAGAGAGCCTTTTTAAAAAACTTTTTATTTTGTTCTAATTAGTTATACATGACCAGATAATGCATTTTGACACATCATACATAAATGGAGAATAACTTCTCATTCTTCTTTGTTGTCAGAATGTAGGATCACACCTGTTGTGTAATTATATATGCACATATGGGAATAATGTCTGATGCATTTAACTACCCTAACCTACCCCCATGCCCACTCCCCTCCCTTCAGTCCCCTGTCTAATCCAAAGTACCTCTATTCTTCCATAGCATTCCCCCACCTTATTGTGAATTAGCATTTACATACCAGACAAAATGTTCAGCCCTTGGTTTTTTGGAATTGGTTTATGTCACTTAGCATGATATCCTCCAGCTTCATCCATTCATCTCCAAATGCCATTTCATTGTTCTTTAAGTCTAAGTAATATTCCATTGTGTATATATTCATTTTGTTTACCCATTCATCTGTTGAAGGGCACCTAGATTGGTTCCATAGTTTATCTACTATGAATTTAGTTGCTTTAAACAATGGCTGTGTTGCTGTCTTATGGTGATTTTCAGTTTTTTATGTATAAACCAAAGAGTAGAATAGCTGGGTCAAATGGTGGTTCCATTCCAAGTTTTTTGAGGAATATCTTCCTGTTTTCCATAATGGTTGCACCAATTTGTATTCCCACCAACAATGTATGAGTGTACCTTTTTCCACATCCTTGCCAACATTTATTGTTGCTTATATTCTTGATAATTGTCATTCTGACTGCAGTGAAATAAAATCTTAAGAGTAGCTTTGATTTGCATTTCTCTACTTGCTAGAGATGTTCAATATTTTTTCATATATTTGTTGATCAATTGTATTTCTTCTTCTGTGAAGTGTCTGTTCAGTTTCTTAGACCATTTATTGATTGGGTTATTTTTATTATTATTGGTGTTAAGTGTTTTGAGTTTTTTACATATCCTGAAGGTTATTGTGGGCTGAGCATGTGGCTCAGTGGTGCACTTGAGGCCAAAACAAAAACCCTGGTAACAGAACAAAACAAATTAAAAAAAATGTAGAAACCCAGATTCTGATTTTACACTCAGTGGGTTAAATTTTTATTTTTGAAAACCCTGCAAATAATTTCTCTTAATTATAGCCAGGATAATTACATATACATTTCCTTTTAGGACATTGGTCCTTCACAAACCTGCAACCTGCTTAGACTATCTGCAACTTGTTTAAACCTTTAGTTTTTGAATTTTTGGCCTATCTTTCTTTCCAGTTTGAAAGAATCCAGTCCTTTTACTTTAGGACAAACATCATACAAAATCTTTCCTCATTCAAAAACACTCTCTAAAAGACATATTCTAATTCTTATAACTTTGTTTGTATCTTTCCCTTCCAATTTTTTGTTTAAAATAAGAGAAAAGATTTCTTCTACTTTTTTTGTCTCTTTTTAAAATTTACAGGTTGAAACAAACCATATAAATTTTTAAAATTTAGACAAATTATTTCTTTTTAAAAAAATACTACACTCTCCAATATTTTCATCAAAATGCAGCTTAAAAGTCTTTCTCCCTTTCTCTTTCTTTCTGTATAGAATTGTGATTGTTAATTAGAACACTAACTCTTAAAAGACTTTTTTTTGTACCTGAGATTGAACCCAGAGGCACTCAACCAGTGAGCCACATATCACAGTCTTTTATATTTTATTTAGAGACAGGGTCTCAATAAGTTGCTTAGGTCTTTGCTAAATTGCTGAGGCTGGCTTTGAACTTGCAATCATCATGCCTCAGTTTCCCTAGCCACTTGGATTACAGGTGGGTACCACTGCACCTGGTAAAGCTTTATTTTTAAGTAAAGATCCAGGGAAAAGTTATTTTTCTATATACCAACAGTTTATAAAAATACATTTAATAGATAGATACTTGGTATAATTTAGAAAGCTAAGACTTCTTGAATTTATATATAGCAATCGATTTATCAGTATTTTGTAAATGATTCAGATGTTTTATCTCCATCTATATTGACATTTTCCTTCTTATATTTACCTAATTTGCCCATTTTTAGATTACTCATGACAACCAACATATCAGACCAGCTTAGTTAACACCTTATTTCTTTGTCAAACCTAAAAGTTGATGTTGTATTTTAAACATAGAAAGCAATGGACATTGTGTCTTGAATACTTAAAAGATAAATATTATCCTGAATGGCCAGGAGTATGGGCAAAAAAAAACAGGTTAGCAATTTTAGACTTTTTATGTATTTATTTTTGTAGGTGAATACCAAGGAGTGAACTCAGGGGCACTCAGCCCTTAGTCAAATCCTTAGTCAAATCCTCAGCCCTATTTTTTATTTTATTTAGAAACAGGGTCTCACTGAGTTGCTTAGTGACTCGATTTTGCTGAAGCTGGCTTTGAACTCACAATCCTCCTGCCTCATTCCCCCCAGCCTCTGGGATTACAGGTGTGAGCCACTGCTTCTGGCTAATTTTAGACATTATGAATTTTATCTTATGAACAAATCTAAATTAACTCATTTGTGAGATATCTACTTACATTAAATTCTATTTATGAGACATGATAATGTGGTAATATGTACTTATTAATTTGTAAAGTGAGAGTTGAATACAAATTACATTCACATTAAATTGAAACAAGCTAAGGTCATATGTTTATATGACTGTTGTCATTTGAATCAGGAATGTCCTCCCAAAGTTCACATGTTGAAGGCTTGATGCCCAATGCAGCAATGTCTGGAGGTCAGGTTTTGGGGAAGTGATGTATTCATAGTCATTCTGACTTTATCAGTAGATTAATGCATTTGATGGATTTATGACATAAATGAAATACTGGGAGGAGTTACAAAGTATAGGAAGGTTGGGGGGGGGGTGGAGAGGGATGTGCCTTTGGAAACTACTTCTTATCCCTGTCCCTTCTGACCCTCTCTCTCTCTCTCTCTCTCTCTCTCTCTCTCTTTCTTGGCTGCCATGAGCTGAGCATCTTTCCTCTGCCATGCCTTTCTACCCAAATGTTTCTGCTTTGGAGCAAGCCAACCATGGACTGATACCTCTGAAAACATATGCCAGAATAAATTCTTCTTCCTCTTTTGCATATTTTGATCATAACAACTAAACATTATGATTTTTTGTTTGCACACCATATCCAAGCTTTGAGTCAAAATTTCCACATGAAACAGCTTATACATAAAAACCTTTCTAGTCTAATCTCTATTTTCTTCAGTCTCAAATAAGGTAAAGAGTTAATTCTTTGATTGCATTTTGCAAGTGGGCTGAGATTAAAAACCAAAACCCAAAAAACCTCCAAGCAACACAAATAACTTCCTATCTTAGTATAAACAGAAAGCCAAAGAGATAAATATAGGTAGACAGCTATAAAGCCAAAAGGTTTTACATGTTATGCTTAAAATTGCAGTTTAGAAATCATTTTAAACCTCGAGTGGTGGAACACATATGTAATCCCAGCAACTCAGGAGGCTGAGGCCAGCGGATCATAAGTTGGAGGTCAGTTTGGGCAAATTAGTGAGAGACCTTGTCTCAAATAAAAAATAAAAAAACCTAAGGATGTAGCTCAGTGGTAAAGCACCATTGGGTTTAATCCCCAGTTACACACACACACACACACACACACACAAATAATTTTGAAGGGCACATAGAAATGTTTCAACTTAGGCATACTGGTCAAACAAGAGTATCACTTAAGTGTGCATAACACAAAAATAAATTTATTATAAGAAAGGCCATAAAATAGAAGGTGAGCTCAATATAAAATAATTCTGGGAAAAAAATCTGTCCAAAATAAAACAGCTGGGTATATCCTAGCCCTAGGAATTCCAGGGGCAGTTAATCTGTGTGAATGTTCGATTAGGATGTGTTCAGTGTTATCTCCAGAACTCATTTTGTGAGAGGGCTCTCGGGTGCTGGAGCAAGAGTCAGTGAAATAACAGAACTCTCACTGCCGCCATCAAATACATCTCTTAGCCCCTATCAAAAACACAGATCCAAACTAATAGATAAAAACCCATAAAACCCCCACCCTCATACCCCACCGAATTTTCCCTCCGTGTCTCCAGGATTTTCATAGACAAATGAAATAAAGTAAGCATTAGAGATACTGTTGAAGGAACATATAAAGAGGCCCAACTATCCACAACTTTGGAGTAGCTCAAATAAAGAACCTTGAAGGCTATGTGGGATTTGCCAATCTCCCACATCAAGTTTACAGAATCTCAGAGAAGAGAGGGTCTGAATTCACATATGGTAGTAGGTGAATCTGGACTGGGAAAATCAACATTAATCAACTCATTATTCCTCACAGATTTGTATTCTCCAGAGTATCCAGTTTTCATCAAAGTAGGTGGTGCTCAGTTGCTGCTCACAATAGTTGATACCCCAGGGCTTGGAGATGCTGTGGACATAGTCATTGCTGGCAGCCTGTTATTGGTGACACTGATAGTAAAAATGAGGATTACCTAAATGCAGAATGTTAGTGAACAGACATCAGATGCCTGATAACAGAAGTACAGTATGGTTACACTTCCTTGCTCCTTCAAAACATAAACCATTGGATACTGAGTTTATGAAGTGTGTGCATGAAAAAGTGAATAGCATTTCACTTATTGCAAAAGCAGACACACTCCCACTGAGGAATGCCAAAAGTTTAAAAAACAGATAATGAAAGAAATTCAGGAACATAAAATCAAAACATATGAATTTCCAGAAACAGATGATGAGGAAGAAAATAAGTGGTTAAAAAGCTAAAGGGCCGTTGACCTCTTGCTGTGGGAGACAGTAATACTATTATTGAAGTTAATGGCAAAAGGGTCAGAAGGAGGCAGCATATCCTTGGGGTGTGGCTGAAGTTGGAAATGGTGAGCATTTTGATTTTACAATACTAAGAAATATGTTGATAAGAACATAGATGCAGGACTCGAAAAATGTTACTAATAATGTACACTATGAGAATGACAGAAGCAGAAAACTTGCAGCTGGAACTTACAATGGAGTTGATAATAACAAGAATAAAGGGCAGCTTATGAAGAGCTCTCTGGCACAAAGGGAAGAAGAAAGGAGGGAGCCTGTAGCCAAGATGAACAAGGTGGAAATGGAGATGGAGCAGGTGTTTGAGATGAAAGTCAAGGAAAAGTTAAAAACTGAAGGACTTTGAAGCTGAGTTGTAGCGACACCATGAGCCAAGGAAAAAGAATTTGGAAGCCCAACATAAGGAACTAGGGAGAGATGATGTCAGTTTGTGAAGGAGACATCAAACTGGGAAGCTCAACAATGTACTTTATAGCAACATAACTCCTCAGGGACCTTGGACAGGAACAAGAAAGGGAAGATCTTTTAAACTCTCTATTGACCTCCCATTATGTGTTAGTTGCCAATATGCCAGCTGGGACATCAGTGTTTGTGGGCTCCATTTGACCAACTTGTGCCATTTTTATCCAGAATGATGGATTTAACAGCAGACAAAAATTTGTTGTTGTTGATGGATATTAAGATGCATTGGAAATTGGGTAGTGGATTGTATACTTACAAAGTAAAAGCTCTAAGAAACTTTCTATATTTTATTTTCCTTTTGAAAGTTTTTATTTGAAAGATCTCTTCAATTTAATTCAAGAGAACATTTTTACTGTTGTGCAATCATACTCTGGTGGTCTAATTGTTTACAGGATATTCCAAAATAAAGGGACTCTGGAAGGTTTTTATTGAGTATAAATGGCCACAAAATGATGCAAACTATGCTTCCCTAGGATAATTATAATATAGTTATATTATATAGTTATATTATGCAGCCTATACAATAATGTAATTTAGTCTAACACAGTTGACCCTAATTTTTAACACTTCCGTTGTTTAAAAATAAACATGGAAAAAAAGCCAATATCCTTACAATGCACCTATAGCTTTTTAATAACAACTGCTTTTTATTTTGGATTCTTTACATACATATTATTCTCATTTAGTGCCATCTTTAGCCAGAATCTCATAACTCCTTCATATTTGTAATAACATTTAATTTCTTTATTTTCCATATACTGGCCCTGCTAAAATAGAATATAGCATCTTTCATACAATAGAAACCAACAAATAAAACTTTTATTTTAAAACAAATAAAACTTGTGGTTGCACAACACCTTTGAGCCATGTATTAGATGGCTCAGGACTGTGAAAATGTGAATGTCATTGGGATAAAAATATCTAAAAGGAACAACAAAGTTGGTGATGTTCAACAACTAAAAAATTACTACAGAGGTCATATAGGATCAAATTATTTATTACCACACTATAGCATGTAGAATATAATCACAAATCTAGGAGAGTTTAAGGCCTAGTCCAAAGACTAAGAAGAAAAGTGATTAATAAATAAGCAATGCATCTATCATGGGCAGTTATTGTGAAAGTTCAAAGATGTACATCTGATTATGCAGAATGGGAAAATGTCTTGAATAAGATGACATTAATGGAACTTTAAGTACTAATGGCATGTAAGTGTTTGGGTTGGAGGTAAAGAAATACAATACCACCAGGCAAGGTTTCCTAGTTGCAAGAGGGGTATGTGGTAGATCAAAGCTATTCAACTGTCAAATCTGGTTGACATAAACACTATATAAATTGGGAACACATATTAAAGAACAGGTGTCAAAGGACCATGACTGTGTCCCCTTGTGTTCCTAGTATATATTGTAATGATATGCATTGCAATGATGAAAGTCAAAGATAGACAAAATGTTTGTTAAAGTTTTTTTAGTTATAGATACAATATCTTTATTTTATTTATTTTAATTTATATGTGGTGATGAGAATCTAACCCAGTGCCTCACACATGCTAGGCAAGTGCTCTACCACTGAGAAACACCTTCTGACTAAAACTTGTTTCTCTATAAACTTGGATAATACTAACAGTATATTCCAGCATTTATTACTATTGTGGCATTCAGACTAAGACAGGTGTGTGACAAATTTGAAGTACCAGGAAAGCACAGTATAAGTAGAATAATTGCATTTAAAATGTGTTAGAAATGTGTTTGGGGCCATCTGGGGAATGTTTGCAAGCTATCCTATGCAATCTGTACTCCAAGCATAATACAACAAGAAATTAGGACAGCCTACTGGCCATAACCCTGGTTCTATGGTACAAATAAGTGGGCAGTATGGGGACAGCTGAGTGTGGTGCATGATGAGATCACACTGGCAAGTTGTTCAGAAGGCTTAGGACCCTGACCTCATTTTTCTACTTGGTGTTCAAATAAAGGCCCATCCTTATGAACTGTAGTGAAATTTTGGGGACAAGTAAAGAGGGAAATTCTCCATGGAGAGGAAGTACAACCATTAGGGAGATGAGAACCTGCCACAGAAAAGAACAGTGTTGGTTTCATTATGCCTGATGAAGAAAAGGAAGGGGTGGTTAGCACAGAATGTTGGTTTACATGATGAGCCGAATAGCACTATGTTTACGGCTGTGGCTGCCGCAGCCTCAGTGCCTTCTTCATTCACCTCCATGACACTCTTGTGCACAACCTTGGACAGACACAGGTCTGTCTCAGTTGACATGGCAGACAAGTCAGCCTGGCCTGGTTGAAAGGCATCGACCATTCCCAAACGCTGAAGCACAGACTTCATTTCATAATCCTCCTGCAGTTTAAATCTTGGAAGGAAAACTTCCACTTCAGTATTCTGCAAAGAGGCTGCCTTGGTCCAGGCTATGAATTTCTCAAAAGTCAGGTTATTTTCCACCTGAAAGACCAGAATCACAGGTTCATATTCAGACTCTTGTGGGTATCGACGGACACAGACATTTCCATGAACATTCCTTGTTAACTGTCCACACAGGACCAGCAGTGCCTTCAGCAACCTAGAAACTTGTGAGAGATCTGACTTGCCCACCACCCCACATGCAATCCCATATATGATTTCCCTGCAGGAAGACTGTGGCTGTCCCTCTTTATTCATCCACTAGCAAACCATGTTTATTTGTGAAAAGCATCTATGCCTAGTCAATGGTGCTTTTCCAGTGGTATTTGTTGCTTTGAATGAGGCTTAGTTTTCACATGATAAACCATTTCTGGCAAGCCAAAGAGACTGGGGAAAGGAAGAGCTCTCAGTGTGAGCCTCTTCAGGAGAGGGACAAGTGCCTAAGGTGGAATGAGGCACTGTTTGTGGAAACTCATCCTCACAGTTAGGGACCTGGACAGAGGGAAAGCTCATGGGAGCTGCTCTGCTCCCAGTGACCCTTTAGGTCATCACAGTGTACTGCCACCATTGATAGAATGGTTGACTCTCTTGCAATAGGGATCATATCACAAGGAATCAAGGAGGACAGGGCTGGGCCATTTGGGCTCTTGGGTTGGAGATACTGTGAAAGAAAGGCACAGGGTGTACCCACTTCTTCCCACAGAAATTGTGAGTTCAAAGGAGTGCAGCCCCTCCCAACTCACCACACTGAGGTCCACGTCCTCATCTGGGAGCAGGATGATCATGCTCAGCGTCTTGCCAGCATATGGCAGCTCCAACACCTTTGTCTGGGCCTCACTGATGTAGATGAAGTTAAAATTGGCTTCCTGCCACATCATCTGCACTGGCCATTCCTCCTCCTGAGAGGAATGACCACATGAGCAAAGCATTTAAAATGGTATAAAAAGGGCAAGAAAACTCTCAACTCTGCTGGGGTCCAGCACTGCTAAAAATTAATGAATAATTACCTGAAATATGCCTTATAAATAAGGGGAGGTATTTAATGCAAGCTACCTTATTGCATTACATTGCATCTTAAGGGTTTACAGAATTTAGCAAACTATACTAATATCCGTTTTACTTAAAGTTGACTAGCGCCTTTGCAGTCATTTTTAATAATATGAAGCAGCAGATGTTGAATCAATAATGATAAGGTATGATTAACAACAATTCAACTGTGAGATTATTTTTTAAGATTTTTTTAGTTGTACTTGGATACAATAACTAGTTATTTTATTTGTTTATTTATATGTGGTCCTTAGGATTGAACCCAGAGCCTTGCACATGCTAGGCAAGTGCTGTACCACAGAGGCACAACTCCAGTACCTAAATGTGAGATTATTTTAATTTAAAGAATAATAGATTGAAGATCTGGGATGTAGCTTCATGGTGCACCACTTGCTTAACATGGACAAGGTTATGAGGTTGATCCCTCATTGCACAAAAATGTAAAAACAAAACAAAAATCATGATTCAATATATGTGTTTTCACATTCCCTCTTTGTACTCTGTCTCATGTCTGAGATATATATATATATATATATATATATATATATATATATATATATATATACACATATACATATATATATAACATACATACGTATGTCACCTCTTTTTGCTTTTTATCCAAGCAACTTGTGTCTATAAGGAGATATTTGTGTCCAGAATAAGGTTAAACCAATACATTATGAGACTTCATCAAAGGCATTTAAAGCGCTAATAGGCTGTAAACCATAATAGATAGCAAGTATTATTTATTCAAGTCATTTTTCCACTGAGATTAAAATTCATTAAAAGAGATGATAAGTTTGAAATTATTATTAACCAATTATGCCTTTACAAAGTTAAATTTTCTATTCAATTTCTTCCTCAGACTAGCATAATTTTTGAAAGTCTCTCCCTACCTGGTTTATTTTGAAAGGCATTTCTTTTGTGCATGGTTTGTCAAATTTCTCATCCCATGTTCCTTGGAAGTAGATGGCATTGACAAGAACCAGCCTGGTCTGCTCATCAATCGAGCCCATTGGTAGCAACTCTGGAATTTTACCTTTCAAGAAAAGCACATATTCTGTCAGTTGCTTTTTCTGAACCCATGGTGAATAAACATGACAACGATGTCTTGGAGATCCAAACATTATGGTTTCAAATGTGCTGAGTTTGGATGATATGTATAAAAGTCAAAAATCCCAGCTGTGAGTGGTATTCATGATGATAGACACTGGAAGAGCCACCAAATTGAAGATGGTGAAGGACTTCTATGTCACTGGAGGAAAGCAGGTTGGGACAAAGCAGAAACTTGACACCAGGTTGGAGAAGAAGACAAGCAGCAAAGGAGAGAGGGGCTGGGTAGGAGCTGACATTACTTATTGTGGGTAAGAGCAGCTTCAGGTCTAAGGCCCTGTGGTCAGGCCCAGTTCTAACGTTGTACAGATACCTGGCCACATTCTTGGGGCAGATAGAATTGAATAGCTCCAGAGCAAGGACATAGGAGGAGTTTCTGGAAGCTATATAAGAGATGATATGATTGCATCCTCCTGGCACTTGGAATCCCTGGAACAGGTAATAATTTGGGTAGGTGAAGGTATGTCCTTCTTTCCCTGTATATCAAGTGGTATGTTTCCAAGGAACTAAGAGCATCCCTGCTAATTTGCTGCCTCTAGAGGGCACAAGAAGAGAAGACTCCAAGAAGAAGTAGTGGAAAGAACTACCTCTATTTTTTACTGTCTCATTTGTTAGCAGAAATAGGGACATTCCTAGAGATGTGTAAGTGACTGATGGTTCAAATATCAAACCATTATTGATCTAGAGGACCAAAGTTAGAAGTTGTCACTCTCTAAAACAGAAATGGTACATTTTAACCTCACAAGCAGGGTGTTTTCAATCTGTGGAATGGATCAGCCCTGAGAGAGGTTGACTAATCAAGTCTAGGCTTCTCAAGTCTGATGAAGGACACTTACGTGAGAGATAGGAAAGAAGAAGTAGGAGAAGTCATCTTAACATGTAAAAGTTGGAAAAGTGAAGTCCAAACTGACCCCAGGAAGAGGAGGGCCAAGGGCATGACTTGGGAAGATCTGGCCATTGATCTGTTCCCATAGATGACAGTCACCTGCTGTGTGAACAATACAGGCCATTGACATGTAAAGTATTATATGGGAAATCTGACCTACAAGTTTCTATTGACACTTGCACCAGCCACTCTGGCCCTGGGAAAACAGACAGCATTAATTCTCTGGTTTTGAAAACCTGAGCACTGATCAGATCTTCTGTGAGCCACTAAGGTTCACAGGCAGTAAGAGGCTCAGCCAGGCAACCTTGCTCTGATCGTTCTGCAACACCAGTGACATTAGCAGTGAGGAGGCAAGGTAGAAGAGAGAGGAGAGGAGAACAGGGGTGGGGTGGGAGGAGAGTGAAATAACTTATAATTCTGACCTTCCGTCTCTTTTGAGACCCAAGTATTTATATGCTCCCTGGACTTCTCTGTAGCTTCAGCAAAGGACAGCAGCTCCAGCTCCGCATGGTAGAACTGAAGACAGGACTCCTTAAATGTCTTGGGAGAGAAATAGTTCAAATGGCCAGGTTGCTCAATAAAATGACAGTGAGCTTCAAGGCATTCTGAAGGCTATCTTTAGTTTGTTCTTAAAATTAAAAACATGATCAAATCTTAAGCTACTTGATGGTGAAATATTTCAGTTTGTTAGGAGATATTTCCTGAGCTCAAGAGAAAATAAATGAAATTTTAGATATTGCCAAAATTGAAATAATACAAGTTATTTTTGTAGAATTGGGGTCTTTATAAAAAACAGTTTACTGTGAGTTTCTCAAGTTCTCTGGAATATTGTCCTTTTATTTACCTATTTATTTATTTATTTATTTATTTGTTTTCTTATTTATTTATTTTTGCTTGGTTTTGCAGTACTGGGAATTGAGCTCAGGGCCTTGAGCATGCTAGGCAAATGCTGTACCACTGAGCTATATCCCAAGGCAGTTTTCCATTTTGTTTTTGAGACAAGGGTGTCACTAGGTTGCCCAAGATGGTCTCTAACTCTCCATCCTCTTGTCACAGCCTCCCCAAAATGCCATACTGCCTGGTCTCTAGGGTCTCTCTTCTGGGTTGTATATTTCCAGGTATTTTAAATTCCACTTTTATTGTTCTGTTGACTCAACTTACTGAGAGGAAATCATAGGTCTTCTCTCCAAAGAGCCTGTTGGTGGTTGTAAGCAAGTACTTAGACCCAGGCTTGTTCACTTGGGTGAGAAGCATCTGGAAGCCCTTATGGATGTCTTCCTCTGTGTTTAAAGACATTGCCTGTGAAGGAAAGCAAGAAAACCCTCTCAGTTTTGATCTTGATCTCCACAAGAATGTTCAAGCAATATTCTTCTCAAATACTGCATGAATTTATCCTTTGAGAGGAAGTTGATCCTAATTGAGAAGTGACACTGGTGGGATAGGTGGAGAGAGGGGCCAGGAAACTGCTGAGTAAGATACGGGTTTTGTACCTGCACAGAGCTCTCTGCATAGTTTATAGGTGAGCAATATTACAAAACGAAAGGGGCAAGAGAGATTCAGAAAAGGCACTATTCTTAAGTCCTCTATCCCATGGAAACCATAAATTTTTCAGAAATAGAGAAAAACTTTCCTCTATTTATGTACAAAATAATGCAGTTCAAAACAGTAATATTACTTGCCTTTATTTATTTACAAAGATGCAGTTCAAAAAACTAAAAGTCCAAGAAAAATTTGGACAGTAATGCAATCATCATGATAACATTTAAAGGAAATAAAAGTATAAAATGAGCAATATGATTAATAAGAATAAATCAGTTCTTAAACAGTATCCTAGAGAGAGATAATATATGATTACTATATGATACTTTATATTTCAATAAAGGTGTAATATTCAACAAGGGAGTTTCATTTGACTCTGAAATACATAAATCACAAAATTTATATTTAATGATGTCAATGTAGGAAACTAAAAATCAAAAACACTACAAATAAAATACCAACAACATGGAAATTAACCTACTAACAAAGTATTAAAAACAATTTCTAGAGAAATAACTTTCCTATGTAACAATCAAATAACTAACATATTGACTATTTTTTCTTTATATTTACTCAGCACTAGCTTTTGACATAGTATAAATAAGTGACAAAGCAGCACAACTTTGGGATGCAATCTTAAATGACACTACTCAAAAAAATCTATAAAACTCATATTCCTAGAATTTGTAAAATGACTTCCGTTTCCCAACATAATTAAATTTAAGCTACATATATTTTTCTCAGTCTTCCAGTTGGTCAATATACCTTCTTTTTGCCTAGATATTAGCCAGAAATTAACAAGAAAAGTCCTGTCACCTGGCAAAGATGTACAACCAAATTACCAAACCTTTTATTTTTTAACTGGAATGCCATCTAACGGAATATAGAAGGTATTCAGCAAAGGGGTCAATGAGACTTGGTTTGACAAGTTAATTTGAAAGAAAAAATATATAAACATCTTATATCCCACACAAACTGAAGTTTCCTGAATAATTTAAAACCAGAAAGAAAAACCTTTTAGTAAATTAATCTTGACCATGAAAGAAATTAGCAGAATGACAATTCTACAAGAAACCAATTAGAATCATTTTCAAAAGTGGTAATAAAGTTTTGTGTAGTTTCAGTCTTTTCAACCTTAGAGGCAAATCTGAAACAACAGTAGTAACAGGCAGGAGCAACAGGAATAATGTAATGGCAATCTTTTGAGGATATTTGTGTATTAACACAATCATATTTTTGTTAGTCTATTCACTCCGCAGTTGTTTTCTTATGAATAAGCATGAGTCATAGTAGACACATAGATCATATCAGTTAAGTCTCTTGTCACAACAAGCATTAGAACTTTTTGGAGCTGTTTCTTCTGTGAAACATGATTTTGAGTAGCAAGTTGTTTTTCCTCTGTGGCTCATGCCCAGGCCTGAGATTTGCAGTACTGTAGGACCAGTTTACCATCACTGCCCAAATATCCCTCATCTGGGGGAGGAGCAAAGGACTGATTCCCATAAGTGAACAACTGTTCTAAGGCCACAAGTTTAAGGAACTTATTGATGAAGTCAATGAGTCCTTGCATGATTCAGGTTCTCTCTACAACCCAAATTTGTTTTCATTATAGGTGTACCCCACAGCCTTTAGAACTATGTCCATTTTTATCTTGGTGTCACTGCAAGGACCTCTCCCTGACAAGACTGCAGCAGAAGAAGGGGACTCTGGAGTGGCTATATTTGGGGAGACATCCGTAAGTCCTTCATGCCAGCAGCAGCAGTTGAAGAGAGTTTCCACACTGACCTTGATGATTCTTAATAAAGTAAACACTAAAAATGTTTATCCTCTTCTAAAGAATGATTCTCATATTTAACATAATATTTAAATATATGACTTATAATTTAGAAAATAATATGAATGTTCTATTACCAAACCAAGTAATTTCATCAAAAAATAGTTAAGCAGCATTAATTATTTTAATGTTCCAAAGGAAATAATGATATAACAAAACTCCCAACACACAATGTTAGAAAAGGGAGAAAAAAAATCCTGAGGAATTTAGGGAAAAACACAAAATGCTCATGAGTCCAAGAATTGATCTTTTCCAAGAAAGCACACATATCTACCCAACATAGACTGACATCAGCAATTGTAAGAAAAATTTATCAATACTCACAAGAAAAGTTATAAATGAAAAAGAGATTACAAAGTAACCCCTGCAAGCAACCACCACAACATTTCACTGGAGGAAACACCTCACCTCTCTCCTTCCCTTCATTCTGTACCCTCTCCCTGAAATGGTCCAGGCTCACCCCTCCTTCCTCAAGAGTTCTGGAAAACTCAAGGAGGGTATAAAAGACAACCTTGCAGACCAGTCTCTCCTCCTGAGTGACAGGTGAGCTTACCTGAGCCATCTGGTCTTTGGTGTTGCCCTTTGCCCCCAGGAGGACCATGGCCAAGGCAGAGGAGATGCTCAGGGGAGAAAAAAACACATTTTGTGAAGGTCTGTCTTGACACAGCATCTTCAAAACCTGGATGGCAAAGGTGCCATTTGCTTTTGAAAGAGAATCCATGATGCAGGGTCTGGGGGCAAAGAAGACAGAGAAACACAATGAAATGGGGCTGAGGACACTGTGTGTGGTCTCTGCTCCGCTTTCATTTTTCTTGTGAATCAGAAAATTTCTGAGTACCAGTGAAAGCCATGGGAGCTGATTAGACATGTGAGGAAGGGGCTGGTGTCTGTAGAACATGAAACTGTCTAGGAAAGGAAGAGCAGAAAAGCATGCATAGGAGAACAGAAGTTGACAGGTTGAAGAAAGAAGAGTGAGTAGTCAAAGCACGAGCAAGGAGGTGCTGCTTGAGCCAGAGACAGTGGGTTTAAACACCATGGGGCAGCTCTATGCAGTGAGACCCTCCCTCACCCGAGGAGGGCCTTAGATCCTGGGAAACCTCCTTGACAACTTCCCATTTCTCAAAGATCCCTCCAAATCCATGCCCAAGCAAGCCTTCAGTACCCTCCCAAATCATTCTACCCACTCCACTTCTCTAGCCCCTGTGATCCTGTGCCTAGTACAAACCACATGTCTCCACTGAGAATCCTCTGACCTCCATGACCATGAGATCCCAAGTACAATCAGCACTTGCTCACTAAAATGCAAAGCAAGTGGGCTGGGAAGTATCAGAACATGGGATTCCCATGTTCTGATAAGAACAAGAAGTGGTATCTTGATCCTATGAGCTCTCCCTTAAATCTCCAGTGGTGCTTGGGAGAAGCTCAAAACGTGTTTTGTAGATGGCATCCCACCTGCCTGGCCCGGTAGTTTGCTGTAGTTCTCCTCTATCACAGCCTCCACCTCTACCCACCCTGATCCACTCAGTTACCTCTGAGCCTTGGAAAATAGTGATATACAAATTAAGAGGCTCCCCTTCAAATTTCTGTCACCAGACTCAAATCACTCATTGCTCTCTCCTAGGCTCAGCACCAAGAGGCACCAGATGTCCTAGTCTACAGCTCCCTCCTACCCACCCTGACTCATCACTGCAAATTGTAATTCCTTTTCTCATTTATTGTTGGACCCACAAGACTGGCCTCTGTCTGCAGGAAAGGTACCTGGCATCCTGATTCTAAGCACCTGCAAGTATGCTCAGGAAACAGCAAGAGCTCCATCATTTAGGGAGAAACCTCAGATAAATAAAGGTTGCACTGGTTCTGAACTAGATACTGGAGATTTTAAAAGCACAGTGAAAGGTAAGTCAGAGTTATTCTGTGACTCCCTGAGGAGAGAGGAGAGGTGAGAAAATAGGGCCAGTAGGTGGGAGTGGTGTTGGAGCATGAACACCCACCATGGAGAGGTCCAGAGCCAGCCAGGGGCAGGCAAGAGGCAAGCAGAGAAGCCAGGAGGCTGTGCAGCACCTTTGTCTTCTTGGAACCTTGCTGCCCTTCTCTGGGACTTGCCCTAAGCAAGGTCCTGCTGCACCATTCACCCCCATGATCTCCCAAGAAGCTCTTTCTAAACACAGCAATGACACTCACTTTTTAGATTGTCTTTTCTCATCTCAGTCTTTGGCATCCCTTCTCCCAGTGGTGGCCTGGGGTTTCTAAACTTGCCTGCCTTGGTCCATTCCAGCCCCTGCACAGAGAAGTCCTCACCTGCCACCTTCCACAGAGTCTCTCCCTCAGGTCTCAGTTCTGCTAGCCTTGTGCAGACTTCTGAATCACAGGACCAGGATCTACAGCTGTGCCTCTCTCAGGTCCACTCTGGGGCCTCTACACTCCCAGAGACCTTTTACCAGGCCTGATTAGATCTGGGAATTCCTACCTTCCAATCAGCATTTAGTGCCCCAGGGAAGAAATCCATGGGACCTGAGTCAGATCATGAGTTCCCTTGCTCTTGCTCCCCTAGCCTGGCCTCTGTCACCCACTGGTTTGCACTGGAACACCAAGGGAGACACTGGGGTGGAGTTGCACACAGCATGTTTTCTAGAGGATTCTGAAAGTGAAAGCACTCTAAACTGATAGCCAAAGGCAGGCTGCAAAGTCCCCTGGGAAAAACACAGTGGGGACTGGGGAAGGACACAGATCCTACAAATCTGGGCTTCCCTACTGACAGAAAGAAAAGACAGAATGACAGGCTGAGATTTTAGGGGAGGAAAGTCCTACAGGTCTGTATTCTGAGCCTCTTGCCTGACACAAAGGAGAGATTCAGCTAAATGGAATGTGTCCCTTTCCCTTATATGCTGTTGGTGGGAATGTAAATTAGCCCCATCACTATGGGAAATGGTAAGGAGTTTCCTCAGGAACTAAAGGTAGTGCTACCTACCACATGATTCAGTTATACCACTCTTCTCTGTGTACACATGAAGGAATCAATGTCAGCATAGTAGAAGAGACAGCTGCATACCCAAGTTTGTCCCAGCATAGTTCACAAGAGCCAAATTATGAAATCTGCCTAGGTGCCCATTAGCAGATAAATTCATCAAAAAAGTGGTAAGTATATGTGTACAGTAGAGTTTAATTTATCCATAAAAAGGAAGGAAATATGATTTGTACAAAACAGATGAAACTGGAAAACATCATGTTTAAGCAAAACAAGTTTCAGAAAAACAAGTATATGATGTTTTCTTTCATATGTGGAGTATAGAGAATGATATAAAATGACATGTAAGTAGAAGATGGACTAATGGGAAAGATAAGGGTTGAGGGAAAATACAAGGGGGGACAAGAGAGTGTTACAGGTAGGGTGGATTCAGTTAGAGCACTTTATATGCATGCATGAAATTGCTACAATTAAACAAATTTTTTGCATACTTACTATGAACTCATAATTATACAAAAATAAATTTTTAAAATTGTTGTTTCCAAGGACTGTGTATATAATTTAGTGGTAGTGTGCTTGCCTCATATACACAAGACTCTGGCCTTAATCTCCCACACCAGAAAAAATAAATAAAAACTTTGTTTTCCAGTTTCTCTACCACTCATTATTACCAGTGCAGCACCCTCTTAGAAAACACAGTGTCCAAAATCTGAGCAGCTGATCCCTTTTCCAACTTCTGGTGCTTAGGCTGTGGAACTGGTTTATAAGCAGACCTACTCCTCATTGGCAATGTGACAGAAAGAGAGACTGAGTCAAAATGGCTCAGGTCCTCAAGTGTGTCCATCAGCAGTATCTGAGGCATGGACCACCTGGAGCACATTGGTTTAGTAGTTCATGTCATCCGAGCTCCACACACTTCCCCATCCCTCTTTGTACCAGTTTCAAGCAATTGGAATTACTTCAGGTTGACATGTTATCCCAAGAAAAGAGTAGACCAAATATCTCTTCCTCTGAAGCAGGGAACTTTTTCTAGAAGTTTGTCCATCAGCAGATACCTGTGTTTTTTCAAATTAATGAAAATTAGTTTTCTCTCCTGAGTACCTGAATTAGGGTGAGGCAAAACATTTATCAGGCACACTTTCTTAGGTGCTAACCCTCCATTTAAATGACCCTGAGAATGAGGGCTTCCATAAATTTTCACTGAAGGTGCCATGCCATTTTTTAAAATGTTTTTTATTGTTGGTTGTTCAAAACATACATAGTTCTTGATATATCATATTTCACACTTTGATTCAAGTGGGTCATGAACTCCCATTTTTACCCCGTATACAAATTGCAGAATCACATCAGTTACACATCCATTGATTTACATATTGCATACTAGTGTCTGTTGTATTCTGCTGCCTTTCCTATCCTCTACTGTCCCCCCTCCCCTCCCCTCCCCTCCCCTCTTCTCTCTCTACCCCCTCTACTGTCATTCATTTCTCCCCCTTGTATTATTTTCCCCTTTCCCCTCACTTCCTCTTTTATGAAATTTTGTATAACCCTGAGGGTCTCCTTCCATTTCCATGCAATTTCCCTTCTCTCTCCCTTTCCCCCAGAAATAGAAGAAGATCTTAGAAGATGGAAAAATATACCCTATTCATGGATAGGCAGAACTAACATCATCAAAATGGCGATATTACCAAAAGTTCTCTATAGGTTTAATGCAATTCCAATCAAAATCCCAATGGCATTTCTTGTAGAAATAGAGAAAGCAATCATGAAATTCATATGGAAAAATAAAAGACCCAGAATAGCAAAAACAATGCTAAGCAGGAAGTGTGAATCAAGCGGTATAGCGATACCAGACTTCAAACTATACTACAGAGCAATAGTAACAAAAACAGCATGGTACTGGTACCAAAACAGGCGGGTGGACCAATGGTACAGAATAGAGGACACAGAAACCAATCCACAAAACTACAACTATCTTATATATGATAAAGGGGCTAAAAGCATGCAATGGAGGAAGGATAGCATCTTCAACAAATGGTGCTGGGGAAACTGGAAATCCACATGCAACAAAATGAAACTGAATCCCTTTCTCTCGCCATGCACAAAAGTGAATTCAAAATGGATCAAGGAGCTTGATATCAAATCAGAGACACTCCATCTGATAGAAGAAAAAGTTGGCTCTGATCTACATACTGTGGGGTCGGGCTCCAAATTCCTCAATAGGACACCCATAGCACAAAAGTTAATAACTAGAATCAACAAATGGGACTTACTCAAACTAAAAAGTTTTTTCTCAGCAAAAGAAACAATAAGAGAGGTAAATAGGGAGCCTACATCCTGGGAACAAATCTTTACTCCTCACACTTCAGATAGAGCCCTAATATCCAGAGTATACAAAGAACTCAAAAAATTAGACAATAAGAGAACAAATAATCCAATCAACAAATGGGCCAAGGACCTGAACAGACACTTCTCAGAGGAGGACATACAATCAATCAACAAGTACATGAAAAAATGCTCACCATCTCTAGCAATCAGAGAAATGCAAATCAAAACCACCCTAAGATACCATCTCACTTCAGTAAGATTGGCAGCCATTATGAAGTCAAACAACAACAAGTGCTGGCAAGGATGTGGGGAAAAGGGTACACTTGTACATTGCTGGTGGGACTGCAAATCGGTGCAGCCAATTTGGAAAGCAGTATGGAGATTTCTTGGAAAGCTGGGAATGGAACCACCATTTGACCCAGCTATTCCCCTTCTCAGTCTATTCCCTAAAGACCTAAAAAGAGCATGCTACAGGGACACTGCTACATCGATGTTCATAGCAGCACAATTCACAATAGCAAGACTGTGGAACCAACCTAGATGCCCTTCAATAGAGGAATGGCTAAAAAAAAATGTGGCATTTATACACAATGGAGTATTACTCTGCATTAAAAAAATGACAAAATCATAGAATTTGCAGGGAAATGGATGGCATTAGAGCAGATTATGCTAAGTGAAGCTAGCCAAGCCATGCCATTTTTTTAATAACACTATTATTCCTTGGCACATGCCTGTAATCCCAGCAGTTAGGGAGGCAGAGGCAGGAGGATCTAGAGTTCAAACCCAGCCTCAGCAAATTAGCAAGACCCTGTGCCAATCAAAAAATAAAAATATTTGGGGATGTGGTTCAGTGGTTAGGTATCCCTGGCTTTACTCTCTGTATACAAAAATAAATAAATGAATACACGTGAAAGTAAACAGATAAATAATGCTTGTAAAAAGGTGAATATGCTTACCATAATATTGATAAGAGAAGGAATCTGAGACATTCTAAATTCAGTTAAAAGTAGGATGAAGGAAAGAAAAGGTATGAGTTTAACTGATAGTTTCAAGCTAAACCAAGAAAGAAAAAATAATAACTGCAGCATATTTCTTTCCCATATTTTTAAGATAAGCCATTGAGACAAAATTTTATTCTGTTTATTGACACAACCAACCAAGAGGCTACAGAAACATGTCTCTACTGACTCTCTTCCTATCCCAGTCATATCCCTCTTCTCTATATATATTGTAGATTTAATGAAACTAATCTGCACCTCCTGCTCCCTGGATTTTTACAACAAAATATCTTTAGATCCAGTGGACATTTTTCCAACTGCTACATGATAATGCTGCTTGTGACTTACGGAATTTGCCCATGGACCAGGCTAACAACATGCACAGCTTGTATTTCAGAGATCTCTCCATCTCAAAACTGTGGTTTAACAATACTCACCCCTTGAAATCATTCAATTTCGAGTATTCACAGAGCTGTACAACTGTCACCACTATCTTAGTCAAGAACATTACATCACTTCAAAAACAAATGGGATACTCATTTATAATTATTCTCCAGTAACTGCTCCCTCTTCCCCAAGCTCTGGAAACCACTAATCCATATTTTTCTCTATGTATTTGCCTATTGAGAGCATTTCATGTAAGGAATCATACAGTCTGAGGTATTTTGTTACTGCCTGATTGCAATCTCCAGCTTCTGTAACTTGGCTCACTTGCATTGGTTAAACCCCCAAACATCCCTTTTATGATTTTCAGGCTTAAAAGGGGCACCCTTACAATTGTTTGGGGCTGATCAGGGGAACAGCTTTATGTTCTGGTCAGTCGCCTCTTGTGTGCTTCGATAAAGGCTTGATTCAATTACACATGAGTGGTCTGAAAGTGAATTTATGAAAGCCTGGGATGTTGCTTTAACTATAACAAAGGCTTTGGCCATTTGGAGCATTTGTGGGGCTTCTGAGTGGCTCTGACCACACCTACATACTGCACTTCCCAGGCTACGCACATTAATGTGGGCATTCTCAGGAGCTTCTCGGGGATTCCTGGAGCATCAGGGGCTCAGATGAGATGCTAATAAATACTTTAAGTATAATTACCCTAAAACTAAGGTTTGTTTGAAATAGGGAACAGAGAGATGTGAGCAGTGGGAGCATGAGGTTAAAGGAATAATTCTATTGTGTGTGTCCACAGTACCAACTTCCAAGAGCTTTATTTTTTAAAAAGCAATTTGCCTCCAGTTCTGCCTGGCCTAAGTTGTCAGAATATGTCACATTCCTCAGAATACTATCTGTTATCTGTAGGAGAAACACAGGCCAGAAATGCCAATAAAGGTTCCCTGAA